TTTTTGGGGGGAGGGGGGGGGGGTTAAAGTGCTTGTGGTATTGCTACTCATATTGGTGTCCTGGATAAGGTTTTTTTTTTTTTTTTTTTTTGAAGGGCGAGGGAGTGACTATTTACTTCGGGTGTCAGTCCCCTGCAATTAGTGGTGGGAAAACTGTCCGGCCGGACAACAGGAACAACTAATTCATTCCAACTTACGAGTAGTGCGCATGCTCCGTTTGGCCCACTCGTTCAATGAGGCTCATTTGCATGGCGGCAGCTTGACGTCATCGCCTACAAACAAGCCCCGCCGTGATGTCACCGCGGCCGGCAAGTGTGTCATCAAGCTCTCGACCCCAGCCGTTAGTGCTTGACTTAAAGTTGACATTCAGGGCGCCCTTGTCTGGTTCGTTTTAAAACACTTACATCGTCTTGTCACACGGCAAAAACGCGTCAGGAGAACGACCGGCGAAATCCGCCATTGTCCGGTTCAAACTGCATCTGGGCAACATGGCGGCTCAAGCGACAAAGAGGGAAGCGGGAGACGCCATATGCCGACACTGCGCGCATGTCTCAAATTCGTCACAGCGGGTTTTCGTGTTGTCTTATACGAGTTGGGTCTGAATTGTCAAAAAGAAAAACACAGCGGATACATTGTCCTTCGTGCAGCCGCCATGTTGAGCAGTCCGTCACGGGCCCCCGCAAATGCAATGTCGCCGAACATGGCGCCTCGACAAAACCACGGTTGGGGGCAAAAAAAAAAAAAAAAAAAAAACCTCCCCGAACCGCTATCAATAAACGGAATAGCCTACCCGTTTTGATCCAATACAAAGCAGGCGAATCACCCTTTTGGAACAGCTCGAGCCAAGCTTTCGTCATCGGCTTCCGATGAGCGAAAAAACAATCGCCTTCGTTTTAGTCGTTCGTTTTATGAACATTTGCAACCTTAAGCCGGAACACAATTACAACGAGGCCTAATTTTTCTTCTTTTTTTTTTTTTTTTAATCAGGCTGACACTCGTTCTGGTGGAAACTTCACACATACAGAAAAAAAAACAGGACAAGACTTTAAAAAAAAAAAGGTTACTCACTGGGATATGCTTACTCATTGAAGATTGTAACTTAATCATACAGCCGGTCCTCAGGGGGGGAAACGTCAAGCGATTAAATGCTTCTTAACCATTCGAACCCGTCGTTTACGTGTCCGAGCGGAGCCCAAAGTCTCCTCTCTGGGAGAAAGCAAAGCCAAGTACTTCCTTTCGTGATCTTCAAAAGAAAATAGTATCCCGAGCGTAAAACGGCATAAGCGTCAAAATAAACCAACCTAGAGTAGTGCCCTGTTGTTACTTTACCGTAATTAATAATGTTATGTTTATTATTTTCTCTCAACGCATATGTTTCTCTTCAGGGGGCCCAGTACGAGTTTATTTTGAAGGCATATCCGGGGTATGTCGTCACGTCCTCTGATGCAACCTTGATGAAGCTCCTCAAACCGCACCCTGAGGAAAAAAAAAGTCACGTTTCTCATTATATTACAAATCAAATGACCTGCAAATAAAAAATACACATGCATAATACTTACAAAAAAAATATAACTCCAATCACCTTATGTATTCTGTTAACCTCTGCTGTACGCTAGGCGAAAGTGCCATTTAAAAATATGAAACAAAAGAATACACATCAAATATTTTTTTAGACAGAGGACAGACATGAAGGTAGCTGGTGTGAGAAAAGAGGTTGCACAAAACGGGTTGAGATGGAGGCAACTGATTCGTTGTGGCGACCCCTGAAGGGAAAAGCCGAACTGAAAAGAAGAAAAAAGAAGACACGTTTGTGTTTTGGTTTGAAACCCACTTGATACAGCGCTGTTCAAATTCACTGCACAAACCTTGATTAAAAAAACAACAACCATACAACATTTCGTTCCCTATTTTCTTTATAGTGTAAATTCAAATGACTAATACACTTCAAAAAGTTTTATTCATATGCACAATGTTTAATCTATTTTCTTTTTTCTCTTTTAAATCATGGTTAAACTTGCCCCTCAAATGTCATTCAAAAATATAGACAACTTTATACGGTGGATAAAAAAAAAGACCCATTCAAATCTAGATTTTAAAAACGTGCATCATTTTTGACTCATGATTTTTGTCTACTCGAATGAATCTCCCAAAATAACAAAAATGGTATTCTGACAAACGAACTCAATTGGAAAACATACAACAAACTACAAAAACGTTTCTGCCATCCCTTTTTTGTTGTTGTTGTTCTTTCGCGATCAAATCTCCCAAGCAGATGACTGATGGACAGAAATTTCAGGAATAATTGAACAATTAAATGCAACGTGGGGTATAATTGTGTCTCTCGGTGCACGAGAGGGACACTTGAATGCAAAGTGCATGGATCAAAGCCGCTTTATGCGCTCCTGGCGCTTTCCTGTTGTCTCGGCGAGCGAGCCTCACTTTGGCTGGCGTCTTTCTAGAAAGGCAAAAAAAAAAAAAAAAAGCAGCTGAGCTCTGCGTTTTCGCACGACCGACCGGGACACAAAAGGTCACCGAATGGACAGCGGCGGCAACCAATGGTTTTGAAGCAGTTTCTCGCTTCTGTGTCTGGCAGCCACTGGCCGGCGGGCGGGTGCCAGGCAGGCCCGAGCTGGGATTGCGCGGGCAGGGGTAAGCGGAAAAAAAGGAAGCTTCCAGTGCGTCACCATTGTAGCAATCGTGTATAAGAATTAATGTGCCGGCGAGGGTCTCACTTCGCAATCTAACTCCAAAAAAAACGGAGTTGATGAAAGACCCCAAATGAGTGACTCTGAAGATTCCCAGGTGACCGCTCGGCAGTGCATCGACTCAATCCACGACCTTGAAAGCCCACGTAGGAGCCAAGACCAAATGGACGGCGCGGGGATGAGCGTGGGGAGCAGGAAGGGGGTGAGGGTGACGGCAAAATTTGCGCCGCCCGTGGACTGGGTTGGCGGCCGGAGCTTCAAGAAGCCCCCGGACTCTCCTTTCTCCGGTGGACTTCCGCTGGAGCCATTTGACCAGCCCGGCTCGGAGGGACCGGACTTCGGCGGGGACTTGATTCGGCCGCCTCCAAGTGGGGCCCCACACAGGCAGACTGTGGAGGAACTCAAGAGCTTCCTGAGGGACGGACCGGTTCTCCACCCCGCAGGAAGTCCTTACTCCTACCCCCACGGGGACAGCAGCGGCGAGACCGGCAGGCGGCCGCGGATCGACGTCAGCCCACTGAGAGCGTTCAGTACCTTCAAACCTCAGCCTGACGCTTCTAGAAAGGGGCCCGGATCCAGAGAGAACTCTCCCATTCACGCGCCTCTCGCCATGGAGTCATCCAGCTCGTCCAGCCCTGACGCCAACACAAACAGACAGACAGAAGTCCCCACGCGCGCAGGCAACAGCGGAGGCTCCCGCAGAGAGACCAAAGCCCCTCACACAGGTCGGTATTTACCACTGGGATTGTGTTTTTTGGAGAAACGATGATGATGATCGGGAGCTTTCAGAAACGCGCATTGACGGCATCCGGTTCCTCGTGAGAGTTCCTCCCCGGGTGGGACGCGCAAATGGTTTGAAACTCTTGTCTGCAGATAACGGGAACGAGAGCCTGGACACGTCAGGGAATCAAAGGTTCATCTCCAGCATGGAGACCATCAAGCAGCAGATGGCCAGGGAGAACATCAACTTTGTACGCTTCGAGGCCACCGACCTGCACGGGGTCTCCAGATCCAAGACCGTGCCCGTCCGCTTCTTCCATGTAATCGCCTCCAGACACGCGTCCGTCCCTTCCGTCCGTTCGTCCTTCACGATCCGACAATCTGTCCAGCCGGTCGTCAATGAATTCGTCAAAGGTTGCAGGCGTCCGACCGGCCGACACTCATCCGTTTCCAACAATCCTTCCATCCGTCCACGCTTCCATCCATACTTTCCTCTCTTTAGCAATCCGTAGACTCATCAGTCCGTCTGGACAAAGGGCATAAAAGACGTATCAAAGCACTCCACGTGTCCCACGACACTACCGAGGACCTCGGCCTCCGGAAGCGCGTTGCGATCGCCGCCAAAGCCTTTTTGTTTGTTCGCTTGTTTGCAGGAAAAGGCGGTGTACGGCATCCCGATGCCGAGGAGCTACCTGGAGCTGACGCTGAGTCCGAAGAGCAACGAGGTAGACCACGCCAACGCCGCCAACTTCAGCAGCGACATCCTCCTGATCCCGGACCTGTCCACCTTCCGGATCCTCCCGTGGGCCGAGCAGACGGCGAGGGTCATCTGCGACCCGTGCACGGTGACGGGCAGTCCCCTGCGGACGTCCCCTCGCCTCCTGGCCAAGCAGCTCCTGAGCCAGCTCCAGAGCCTGGGCTTTTCCTTGCACTCCTCCTTCACCTACGAGTGTTGCGTCCTGGGGGCGCCCGACCGCATCGGGCCCAAGACGCTGCTGTTTCCCGCCACCACCCTGCTGGGTAATCACGACCTGCCCTTCTTCCAGCAGCTGGTGGACGGCATGTACTGCATGGGCGCCGACGTGGACAGCATGGCCTCAGCCAGCGGGCCGGGCCAGATGGAGATCAACCTGAGGCCCGAATTCGGCATCGCGGCGGCCGACAGCGCCTTCACCTTCCGCACCGGCATCAAGGTTCCAAGTTCGTTCAGTTCAATCGGTCAGCTTTATTCGCAGAACCCCGGGTCCTGGCGGAGTGGGACCGTAGACCCCAATAGAAAGCGACAAGATATAGACATAAGGAATTGGCGTTCAACCAGAGAGGGGTGTGGTTTTCTATAGATGCTGAAATGAAGCTCTTCCTCTCGCTTCGTTTTCAGTGCTTGACACCGAGAGGCCACCAGGTGGCGGGAAAGCAGTATTTTTGTATTCGACATGGCCAAAGCAAATAGCGAGGATAACCCAAAGAGAAGTTTCCCCCCCCCCCTGAAAGTCCGAGCAGAATTTGCCAATGCTGAAACGATACGTGGGGGATTCACTGGCCGTTAAAATCGCCACGGGAAAATCAATTCCTACCTTGAGACCTGCGTACATTCTGTGACAAAGTTTGTTACTGACTCAATTCACTCATTCAAACCCTTTGACGTCTAAAAGCGTCAATGGACGCATAGTCCTCGCCTCCCCTTGACGCCTAAAGGCAGGCGTAAATTGCGTTTTTTTCATGGGGGAGGGGGCAAGAGAGTCTGATGCAACTTCTCACTGAAGCAGCAGGCTTGACTACAATGTAAATAAATAGTAAAAGAATGGCCAGCAGGTGGCAATAGCGCCATACTTGAAATGATGCTTGAAATGCATGCTTTTACAAAAAAAAAGCTCATTTTCTCTGGATTTCTGAAGAAAATCGGCCTTTTCCAGAAAACTTTTGCCAACGAACGGACAAAGATAGAAACAAACGTTTTTGTTTTTTTTTTCTGCTGAAAGAAGAGAGTCTCACCTTTCTTCTGACAGTCGAACAGAAAATTCTGTGGGCCTTGCAAATCAGTCAAGATTCAGTCAAATGTGAGGGATTGAGGGGGTTCCAGTGAAAAAGGGTGCGATTCAATGAGTTAAGTTAAAAAAAAAAAAAAAATGATTGTGCAATTACCTGTACATACTGTCGTATTCATGTGTTCAACGTGGGCCTTTAAGGGGAGTGGCCGAGCGAGTGCCATCAAGAGCGGGAGTCGGGTTGGGCAGTTCATCCGCGTCTGAGTGCACGGTTCGAAGAAAGAAACAAAAGAAACGACCCCCCCCAAAATTCCGAGGCTCATGTCCTGTAGATTCTGAATGGATTTCACTTTTCTTGGGAAATGGTCGAGAAGTAGGACTTTCATCATAAACCGTCTCACTTCTCGCTCCTTTTCAGACGGTCAGTCGATGGCCTTTCAATGCGCGGCGTCTATTTTGAAATGGCTTTTTTTTTGCCTCTGTTTTTTTGTCCCGCATGCTCGGAACGCAAATGAAAAGGAGATGGCCCGCAAACACAGCTACATCGCGAGCTTCTTCACGGACGACGGCCTCTACAACGCCGGCGTGCTCTCCCACAGCCTGTGGGACGCCAACGGGCGGCGTAGTCTGTTCCAAAGCGGCGAGAAGGCAGCGGCGGCGGCGGCGGCGGCGGGCGAGCTGTCCGACATCGGCCGCAAGTGGCTGGCCGGGCTCCTGACGCACTCGGCCGCCCTCAGCTGCCTCATGTCGCCGGGTCTCGGGTGCCGCAGCCACATGGCCAAGGCCGTCAAGGACCCCAAGCGGACGCTGTACGCCACCTACGGCTGCAACGACAACAGCAGCTCCTTCAACGTCAAGTCCCACGGAGGCCGCGAGACCCACATCGACAACAAGCTGGGCTCGGCCATGGCCAACCCGTACGTGGTTCTGGCCGCCACCGCCGCCGCCGGATTGGACGGCATCCGGCGCAACCTGAGCATCGAGGGCGGCGTGCACAAGGCGCCCGGTCAGCAGAAGGAATTTGCCATCGCCGTCAAGCTGGACGACGCCCTGGAGGCGCTGGCCGAGGACCACGTCATCCGCAGCGCCTTAGGCGAGCCCTTTGTCCAGTACTTCATCGCCATGAAGAAGTTTGAAATTGAGACCCAGGAACTGGATGACGAGAGGAACAAGTGCCTGGAATACTTTATCTAGAAGGCCGTCGCGGTTTTCCACGATCCAATCCAAGTTTTCCGATGAAGACGCCATTGCTACTGTGCGACGGGTAACAAATAAAGGTGACCTGAGACTCGGTTGCGGAAAACGGGCTCTTGTTTTTTATCGCTTGAAAGTGGAAATGTGACTTTCAGAGTACGTTTCGGGTCAATGTTGCTTCCGGCGGTTCTAGGCAAAGGTGGTGCCAAGTCAATCGTTAAGCCTCAAGTCTCAACCTCGGTCAGGGTAAACCAACGTGGCGAAGAAGCCGGCTGCGTTATGCGTTCTATTGACGGTCGGAAGTAAGAAGCAGAAATGACGTCTACGTACGTCACGCCGGTTTGAATCGGGGCGATTGAAAGCCATCCGATCGCTGATCTTGTACGCGCCAGGAACGATGTCATCTTACGCGTTCCCAAACGGGTGGTTCCCTTCGTTCCGTTTCAGAAACCGAAATGTCGGCCTTCGCCTGAATATCCACCCCCACGGAAACACAGTCAATGCATCCCAGACCGATTACGTTGTATTTTCGTCAATCAGAGAGGCGGAGAAACTTTGACCTGACAAGAGGGCCTTGCTCAAAGACACTTTTTTTTTTGTTTTGTTTCTTCACAAATGCTCCGTGACAAAACGATCGACTTGATTGTTTAATTTTCACAGTGAACGGCTGGGACACAAGGCACACCGATATTTGCATACGCGATGTGAAAAAGTCACGATTCTACGGTACCTAACTTTTAAGCGGCGCCACGGTCAGCCTCCTTGACACGATTGGCCCTTCTTCCGATGTTCTACTTGTTCTTCCCGATGAGGTTCCCAACCCGCTGCATGAATCGTCCCAGTCTGTTGTCGGCGCCACTTTGTGTCGGGCTGTTTGGGGGTTGCCCTCCACCTCCTCGCTTGGCTTTGTGCGCAGGGACCCGAGAATGTAGCAGGTACTCGTAGCGACTGCAGGCCTTTTCCCGCCGGCTCTCGTAGGCCCCCTTTCCCTGCTCTTCCAGATTCTCCCGGGAGCCCTGCTGCGGCCCCGCCGCGGCCGGGTTGGACTTTCGCTTGCTGGAGCGTTGAGAGGACAGTCGGTGGAAGGTGAAGGAAGACTTTGGCTTTTCGTTCTCCACCGCCGAGCTCTGGCTGCTCCTGTGCTCGGTGGCAGACGCTTTTGCCAAAAGGGACGCCCGCGAGTTTGAGCTGCAGGAGTTCTGCGATCGCAGCGATGCCTTCCTTTGGAGGGATTTCTCCTCCTTCTTGGAAGCCTTCTTTTCCTCCGAGCCTTTGAGCCGGGTGGATTTCTTCCGCTGAAGCGGGAACTCCTCCCGATGATGATGGCCTTTCACCTCGCCGGCAGTTAAGGTCTTTGGAAGAGTTCCCTTCTCGTGAGAAGGCGCCTTGTTTGTTTCTCGAGGCCCCGACTTGGCCTCCTGAGATCCGGAATTTTTCTCAGTCAAGTGCATTTTGGAAGTCTTGTCTTCGTTTCCGCTGTTCCGGTCTTTGAGAACAGCGGCAGTCAGGACAGGATTGCCGCAAACCTCTTTCTCCTCGGGGATTTCAATGAGGGACTCCATGGTTCTGGGGCGCTGCAGACCACCGGGGTACTTGAGGGAGGAGTCTTTGAGTTTGTCCTCCAGTTGGGCGGCCGAAGGGGTCCTGGCGATGGGCTCGTACCACTCGTACGCGGGGCCGGCCTTTTGCTCGGGACTCGTTTGGATGTCAAAGTATGAGGCGGAGCGGTCGCCGTCGTCGGCCCGGTTTGAATCGAGGTTTCGGCGGTTGGCATCATCCGGCCCGCCGGCCTCCTCCGCGACGTTCTGCCGCACGTCCAGGCCTCTCAACGAAGACTTGAACTTGGGCCGATCCAGACTTTGATACATGGATCGCAGAGATTCTTGGCTGTGCCTGAGACTGTCGTACTCCTGATAACTGAGTCTTTTCTGCCGCATCTCGTCCAAGCGGGACTTGATGTCCCTGGATCTGTTGTTGATCCCTCGCGGCCGGTGGTCGTTCAGGACCGCGCGGCTGCCGTATGGCGACGTGAGCGGGGACAAGGCGTCGCACGATCCGTCGAGGTTCACCTGGCTGTTCAGGTACGTGTCCATCTTCCACCTGTGGAGGGAGGTCTCAGAGTTGAAAGGGATCAGATTCTGGTCCAGGCCGTATCGGCCTTGGTGTCGAACATGCTGGTGAGACATCCTGGCGGGCGCCAGCAGACTAGAGCCGGCCCCGTCCGGAACGACGGGCGCTCCGACCTCTCTGGTCCCCATCCTGAGCCGAGTCATGGGGTTTAACTTCTGCAGGTCTCCACCAAAACTCTGGCCTCTTGTCATGTGGTCGGAAAAGTGGGACAGATGTAGGCGGTCCTGTACGCTGAGGCCCCTGGTCAAGAGCTCGTCCTGAGCCAAACCCCTCAAACCGCGAGTCCCTCGGGATCTCACGTGAAGTTGATGCAGCGAAAGTTGGCTGGAGTTTGGACTGCGCAGCGGCGCCGCGTCTCTCAGGTACTCCACGTGCGAGCGCTCCTTGTGCAGCGCTTCGGGGACGGTCGAGCGAGCGTAGAGGCGGCGGAACTCTTCGTCGTAGGAGCTCACCAGCTGACCGGTGACCACCAGTACCATGCTCACGTTGATCTTCTCAAAGGACCACGTGTAGCTGGAAAGAAAGTCCGTTGCTGATTTTACATGGCGACGCAAAACGCTCCGAAATATTGTTTGCATTGTTCGCACTGTTGGCACGCGAGCGAGGTGCTCAAGACTCACCTGTAGGTTCCGTACAAAACGCTGCGGCAGTCCACCAGGATGAATCGCTGCTCTAAGCCGCCGTGAAACTTGATGCCGGACTGGCAGCGATACTGCTGACCTCTCACCGTCCGCACGCGAATGTTCTGATGGCGACAAGTGGAATGCCTCGATAAGCCCGGTTGCATTTTCGGGACCCGTGAGGAGCGAGAAGCCACAGCCGATCGCATTCCTCGATGCCCGAGTCCCGCCGACCTGCGCAAACGGCATCCGCCTCGGCGAGCAAAGCGCCACTGTCTGTCAAGAGTTCTACCCGGACAAGTTTAAACAAAAGAACCCGACTCAAGGAAGGTTGTTGGTGCAGTCCGGCGGGAGTGGATCTCTCAGGGCGAACGGCGGGCAGTTGCGCCGCGATCACACTCAAAGTCCCTCGTGTTCCCCGTCGGTCTTTTATTGTTTACGTATGCAAAATACAAGAAAGACACTGCCCCCGATATTTGCAGACCACCCACCCCCCCCCGCTCCGGTCCGGCCCCTCAGTCTGCGATGCGATGAGCTACTTTTAACGCCGTCTCTCACGGGTAAACAAATCGCAGACTTCGCAGATGACAAACGGTCGCCGGGGGCCGCAACCGGTTCTCAGACCGTGCTTTGATATTCTGAAACACTCCGTTCCGAAACTGTTGACTGAGTCTCGCCTTCCGCTATCTGTTTGCACTCTAGCGGTAATGTGATTACTGTGGATTCCAAGATCCCTCCGTCCGGACCGGCCCGAACTTTAAACATGATATTATTCTCTTTGTAGATTCCTCTAACAATGTCATTGAGAGGAGGCGGCGTGTCTCCATGCAGGCGCGGATTGTCGGGCCTCGGCGGAGGTCCTTCCCTCAAGACCAAACGCGCCGCCTGACGTTTGATCGAAACCGAGGGCTGAGAGCCGTGTTTTGTTCTACCGCCGTCGACGTTGCCCGACAGGAAAATCCGGACGCGGCGCAAATTAAGGCCGAGTTGCGACTTACACATTGCGAGTCTGTGAAGTCGGAATGTCTGCATCCGGTTGGGGAAAATTCGACCCCGAAGCCAGTTTCTGTTCGCGCCATGAAATTTGGTAGAGGTGTCTGTCATGAGTAGAGCTGCCCCCACCCCCCCCGA